CTTTTCACTACTATGTCTCAAGCCTCTATAGGTTTAGTGTTTTTGAAGAAAAATTTTAGAAGGAAAACTTCCACCAAGGGACACAATCAAGCTTCATTTAAGGAAACCAAGATTTCCATCTGGCAGTTTTCAGTTTCACCGTAACATGTAGCTGTTACTATGACAATAACTAATGGATACAATGACCCTTCTTAAATGTGTGTGCTTTTCACTACTATGTCTCAAGCCTCTATAGGTTTAGTGTTTTTGAAGAAAAATTTTAGAAGGAAAACTTCCACCAAGGGACACAATCAAGCTTCATTTAAGGAAACCAAGATTTCCATCTGGCAGTTTTCATACCGTTGGCTGAACAGTTATTAAAAAAAAAAAAAAAAAGCCAGTGTTTACCTGCCTTGTTGTAGTAACCTAACTTGCCTCCCTGATTCCATATCATCCCCTGTAATGTATGCACAACACAGCAGCCAGAAAGACCCTTTTCTTGGCATATTATGTCATCCTTCTGTTCCTCCAGTGCCTCCCAAATTCATTCTGAATAAGAGGCAAAGTCCTTGCAGTGACACACATGGCCCTCATGCTGTAAACCCACGTTACCTCTCTGACCTCAACTCCACTCATGCTCCTGATCACTCATTCACCCCAGCCACGCCAGTCTCTTGGATGATCCTCAAATACCCTGAGCATATTTTGGCCTCAGGTACTTTGACCTGGAATTTCTCCTCTGTCTCGATTGCTCTTACCACAATTTGTCACATAGAGTATGTCCTCCTTGAGTTAGCTACTTGACTAACACCTCATGACTACTCTCTATAAGATAATCACTCTTACAGCTATGCTATTTCCCACGTTTGCTATTTCTCTTACTCAGCTTTATATTTCTCCATAACTTTTCCACCAACTGACATGTTATATATGTATTGGTTCATCCATTTATTGAATCTCCCTCTCCCAATACACATATCACCCCTCTTTAATGTGAAATCCTGCCATCTAGAACAGAACACATAGTAGGTGCTCAATACATATTTTTTGAATGAATGAATGCTTCTGCTGGTGGTGTTCCTCGGGTAGCACTATCCCCTCCCTGACTGGTCTGTCTTTAGGACTCTATTTTTGAAGCTCCATCTCACTCATATAACTTCATACTATCACTCCAATTTCAAATGGGCACTTTTCGTGTGGAACAGATATTTGTTTCCACATGAGTGTTGCCATCTACAGCCCTGTGGGTTGGAAATGGGCCTTAGAGCCATCCACAAAGCAGTTTGCTGTTGGAAATGGGAGAGAGTAAGTGTGGAAAAAAGACCTGCCCTGCATTCTGAAGGGGCAGTCAAGCTGCGTGGTTCTGAGAGGGGCCTTGAGGATGGCAGTCCCATCTGGATCCACCTGTTTACCAGGATTCCTGGGCCCTGGGAGTAGTCCTCCTGACCAAAACTAAGCATTGCTGTGGTCTGCTGATATCAAGCACAGATTATCAAGACCTGGAAGATGGGGAGGAAGGAACCAGTCCAGAGCCTCCTCCTTCTTTTCTCCTCCTCCTCATCCTCCTCAAAGAACCTCAGAGTCTCAGACCTACGGCTTTCACTTAGCTGCAAAGACGGATCAAAGGAAGGTCCTGAGGATTTTTCTCCTGCAGCACTGCTGCAAGTCTCTATCAAGTCATGGACATGGGTATCTATTCCGAAGAATGGGGTTTGTTAAACTTGTCAAGAGTAAGCCCCACTTCAAGAGATGCAAGGGAAGATTTAGAAGATGAGAAAGTTAAACTGATTACTATGCTCTGAAATGCTTGGTGATCCCAGATAAAAATAAGTATAACACACCCAAATGCAAAATGATAGTTCATGTAAACAACAGAAATATCATTTGTCAGATTGCTTTTGCCCATATAGGAGGGGTTATGATAGGCTGCACAGCACATGCTCATGAACTCCCAAAGTATGCTGTAAAAGTTGACTGGACTATGTATGCTGCAGCATATAGTTCTGGCCTGTAGGCTCCTCAGTAGATCTGGCATGGACAGGATATGTGAAGGCCAAGTGGAGGTTGAGCAGAGATGAATATGATGTGGAAAGCACTGATGAGCAACTGTGCGTCTTTGCTTGCTGTGTAGATGCCAGAATCACCACTGGAAATAAAAATTGAGAGCCCCTGAAGAGAGCTTCAGATGGAGGCTGTTCTATCCTTCACAGTACCAAATAACTCCCTGGTTCTGATTCAGAAAACAAGGATTTCAATGTAGAGGTACCTCAGAAGCATGTCATGGGTCAGAACATTGCAGATTACACACATTACCTAAAGTAAGATGAGAATGTTTGCAAGAAACAATTCTCTCAGTATACAATATAACTCCAGACATGATGGAGGCGATGTATAAGAAAGCTCATGCTGCTATATGAGAGAATCCAGGCTATGAGAAGCCCAAGAAAGAAGTCAAGAAGAGGTGGTACCATCCTAAGATGTTTCTTGCCCAGAAGAAAGCTCGGGTAGCTCAGAAGAAGGCAAATTTCCTCAGAGCTCAGGAGCAAGCCACTTAGAGCTAAACCAAACACCATTTTCTTTTTTTTTCCAAAGTTTTATTTTAAAATTGTGGGGTACAATTCAGGGTTAGATATCCAAAAGCCATTTTCTATGAAGATTATTCAGAGAAAAACAATAAACTTATTGACCAAGCAGCTAAAAAAAGAAAGATTCTAGACTAGAGGCTCTTCCTGGTCTACCCCACCCACTCCTGTTTCCTCACCCACCCCACTCCACCCCTCAGCCCTCCTTTCCTGGTAGGTTCTTTCTGTCCATTACTGATACCCCTGGGAACCTCCACATCATCTACTCCAGGAGAACCCTGGACTGGGGCCCCCTTTAAAAAGTCCCAACCCCTTAAGGTTCTGGTGGAGAACTGAGGTTCCATCTCCCTGAGATTCCTGCTCAGGGTACACTATGCAGTCGTCTCATTCAGTAAAGCATCAACCACCAGGTTTGCTCTTCCACCATTGGCACTTTTTATTGAGTTAAATCAGAGGTAGCAAATTTTCCTGCCAACCCCACTAAAGGGATAACTGTAGCACCTGCCTGGAGTCTTGTGCTGAAGATTCTATGGCCCCATATAGACTCATGCTGAGGAGCAGCAGGAGTGATCCAATTGTGTGGCATGGGTACTGGTGGAAGGAATGACAGCATGTGGAAAATACCTTTGCCATCCCTCCATCCCTGAGTTAGACCTGTCACGCTGCCCAGGCCTCTCATTCAGAATGTAAACCTGGGGAAGGAGAGGAGAAATGGAAGAGGTGGTAGTCACACACTGAGTCCCTAGCAACTCTTCCAACCCATCACTGGATGCCTAAATTTCTGCCTTAAAAGGGTGAGGAGACTTCAAGCATGGACAGGGATAGAATTCAGGAAAGGGGGAGCTAGAAGAAAAGCTATACCATCATCTACAGCCAAGTGGCAGTCATACGCACAGTGCACCTCCGCTCCTACTAGTTGACTTTTCAGCTTGTGTCCCCAGGAGGGGTATGGAGAAGACCTGAGGTATTGTCTGGCTTCTGACCTGGGGCGGGGACCCACAAGAGGATGAGGAAGATAAGGCCTGGCAGACACCAAGCCAGGCTCCAGACAATCGATTCCACTCAAGCTGACCGGACCTCTCACATGCTTCTGTTGGTAGAAGAGTAGGGAGGATGTAAAGGCTGCTCCTGAGGGGCCAGAGTTACGCCATTACTTCCTTTGTCTTCCTCCTCCTTACTCCAAAGACCAAATCCGCACCCCAGGGATTAAAGTGAGAAATCATTGCAGTGGAGCAAGTATGGGATTCTCGAATTGGATGACCCAGGATCAAGCCCAGCCTTCAAAAGGCTGAATGCAACCCAATCATCAGGTGAAGTGTGTTCAAATAAATTTTGGTACATCCAAACAATGGGATACTAAACAGTCATAAGAAAGAAGGGAGAGATTCTTCATGCTTTACTAGAGTCAGCTCCAAGAAACATTGTAAAGTGATAAAAAGCAAGATATAGGACAGCACGTATAGCGTCCAACAATTCACATAAAAAGGTGGGAAGATAAGAATTTTATGTCTATATATGCCCAGATAGATGGAGATAGATGATAGAGATAGGGAGGGGGGAAAGAAGAAAATGGAGGGAGCAATGAACATAGAGAGATAGAAGGAAATGTATATAAAGGATTAGAGAGAGGGTGTTGAGAAAGGGGCTTAGAAAGATAATATTAAAGACAAAAGGATGGAAAAGGGGCAGAGAGAGGAAGGATAGAGAGAGAATAGAGAGGAGGGGGAAGGGAGAAGAAAGAAGGATAGAGTGTCAGGGTTAGAGGGGCGAAATGGGAAAAGAGGAAGAAAGAATGGGAAGAGAGAGAGAAGGAGGAGCGAGTTGGAGATACCCATCTGAAAGAATACACAAGAAACTGATAACATTGGTTGTCTCCATAGAAAACAATCTGGTGGCTGAGTGAGGAGGAACGAGGCAGGGAGTTAAGGGTGAAAGTCACTTTTCATTGTATATCCTTTTTAAATCTTCTAAATTTTGATCCATATGAGTGTATTATTCACACAAAACAGCGAAGGATCCTGATTTTGTCATCTTTCTGTGTAGCTCCAGGCAAGTAGCCCCATGGAGTCCTGTTCTACATCAGGGGACTGTTATCAACTACCCTGAAAATTGCTTTGAGGAGTCAGATCTCATAAGCAAATCTCCCAGTACTATATCTGGCATGTAGTACATGCAGCTATGATCAGAAACCTCAGTAAAGAATCTGATTTGAGAAGCACTCCATCACCTGAGACTCGGTTTTCTTGGTGGAAGAGTGACCCACCTCACAGGGTTAGTGCAAGGACTCACAAGGAGAGTGCTAACACCCATGAGACGAGCCCTGAATTAATGCTCATTGTTTCAGAGTTGATCCTTTCCCGGACCTCATGCCTGGATGATCTGGCCACCCTCCACCTGCCAACCCACCTCTACCTAAGTCAGGGAGACAGGGACAGAATGTGCTGAAAGTGGTTATTTTATTGGTTGGAAAAGGGAGAAGCTGTGGTCAGAGCCAAAGAGGGAATGCAGAGGCCACAAAGAGGGGAGGGCAGCTGGGCTGAAACCAGATGCAGGGCTAGGCAGAGGCTTCTCCTACCCACTCCTCAGGATGGTGGTGGCTGGATCTGAAGAAAAGCATAACAATCCCGTCAACAATATCCATCACACTATACAAGAGTACCTGCAGCTTAAACCCTGGACCAACTCCCCTACCATACCCCATCCCACACACCCATACCACAGAGCCTCACCTTCTTGAGGCTCTGCTTACATTTTCCTATAGCTTGTAGACTCATCTCTTCTGCTTCAGACCATCCCCAGGACACACCTGGGTATATTATGTTTCCAACTATCCGTTTTGGCCTCCCTGAGGAGCCATGATCATTTATTTTCCTAAGCATCCCTCAATCACCAGGAAGTTCCACCATGACTTACTTAATTCCTTTGGTTAAGCTGGGATTGGCTGAACAAATAGATCTTATTTAGCTCCCATTATAAGCAAGATAATTGTGGCTCAGGGAGGTAAAAAGCTAATTTAGTATCAGACATGAACTTTTTTTTTGAGTCAGAGTCTCCTCTCACTTTGTCATCCAGGCTGGAGTGCTGTGGCACGATCACAGCTCACCACAACCTCCACCTCCTGGGCTCAGGTGATCCTTCCACCTCAGCCTCCTGAGTAGCTGAGACTACAGGCATACACTGCCACACCCAGGTTATTTATTTATTTATTTATTTATTTATTTATTTATTTATTTATTTTTAGCTACAAGGTCTTATTATGTTGCCCAGGTTGGTCTCGAACTCCTTGCTTCAAGAGATCCTCCCATCTATGCCTCCCAAAGTGCTGGAATTACAGGTGTGAGCCACCATGCCTGGCCCAGAGCTGAAATTTGAACTTTCGTCTTTCTGACTGCAAAGCCTACCCATGCAGTTGGCATCATTGGAGAGTTCTTGGCCCCAGGAAGAGCATATTTCTCTTTTAGGCACTAAAGATCACATCACCCTCCCTGGGCCTCAGTTTTCTAATCTGGGCACTATTGGATTCCATCAGTGATCTTTGGGTTCCTTTGCTGAGGTTGTTAAAGGTAGCACATAACCACAGTGAGATTTCAACCCAAGGGAGCCTCCAAGTTCCCTCTGCTTGAGACAGCCTCTCCACTGCACTTTACTGCATTACCAACCTCCAATCCTCTTTTAAGCCTGGCTCAGGATCACTCATCTAGGAAGGCTTCCTTGACTTACCTGAGTCATCCTCTCCTAACCCTTGCCTGGGTGATGTTTCCTCCTGTTTTTCACAAACGGACACTGACTACAGGCACTGGGAGTGTTACCCATCCATCCACCTCAGCCACCAGACTGCAGGCTCCGGGGAGAGGCGAACTTTTTGTCTCAGACCTGGCATGGAGCTAGCAGCACAGTGCCTGACCACTCAATGGGCCAACTAAGCAATTACTCCATTATTCTATTTTTCCTTTACTCCCTGACACTTACTTTATGACTTAATATTGTTTATTTTTAATTATATATAGGGGAAAGTTAGGCTCTACAATATTTTCCTTTGAATGCCAGAGCCACTAGAGATGGCTAAATTTAGTCCTGGCCTGCCACAGAGTAAGTGCTTGACATACTTCAAACACATCTTTGATGAACTGAACTGAAGTTAACTGATCCCATGTTTGTCCTGCAAAGCCAAGCTCTTTGGCAAAGAAAGATAAACTCTTTCTTTCTTCCCACTGGCCATGCAAAGCGCTTACTACTGTCCTAGACCTTCTAGCCACTGTCCCCTCCCCCAGGACACAACTCCCCTCACCCTTCCCCCCAAAAAGTCAGCCACTTATCTCCCCTGATTCCAGCCTGGTCCAGGTCATCTCTCACCTGCCCTCTTGCAGGTGTCAAAACAGGTCTGCCCCTGCCCCCACTACAGTCTACCCACACACAGCAGCCAAAGAGCTCCCTTTCAGGGGTGCCACATCTCTAGGTTAAGACCAAAGCCTTGAAATAGTCTCCAAATGAACCGCCCACCCCCCTGTTGCCACATACCCTCTCTTCTCATCCCCCCCCACCTCCAGCTCACTGGCTCCTGCCTCTGCCTCTCCCTGAAGTGCCCAAGGATGCTCCTGCCTTTGCACCTGCTGCTCCCTCTACCTATAACACTCTCCCTGGATATCCTCATGGCTCTCTCCCTTATTTCCATCAAGTCTTTATCCAAATGCCACCTTCTAAGTAGGGGTCTTTACTGATTGTTCACGCAAAACCTGCAATGCTACTCCCTGTGCCCCCCATACATTTTATCTCCTTTCTCTGCTTTCTTTATCTTTTGGTACTTGGCTCCTCATAACTGACCATAAAATTTGCTTGCTTATTTACTTTGTTTACTGCCCACTGGACTATAAAACCCATCTGGGAGACATTTCATTCCTGGAGCATCTCAGTACCTAGAGTAGTGCAGGACACGAGACAGATACTCAATAAACATTTGTTGAGTGAATGAAAGTAAATAACTGGACAGATCCGTGAGGGGCAGTGTGTTTACTCAGGTCTCCTCTCCAACCTGCTGCAGGTACCCTCAACATCTGGTCACCAATACACCTCTTCCCCACTTCACCTACCTCAGAAGATGGGAGTGACACAGGACACATTCCCGCAGCCATTGCGGCAGCATTTCTTCAGTCCAGGGCACTCACTGTCCACCTTGCACTGATCCCAGCAGATGCCGAGTTGGGGGAAGCTAATGTCCACCCGGGGACAGGAACCCTGCTTTTCTAGGTAGAGAAAAGATTAGGCAAGTGGGTAGAGGGGCTACAGGGACACGAACATGTATCTGCAGCATGACCCCCCCGATTACCCCTCACTTGGCTTCACAAGCAGCAGAGCTGCCTACCTGAGTCTATCCTGGGGCCTGAGGTGTTCTTCGGGGACCCACAAAGACTGCCTGCAACTCTCCCCTCCTCTCAGATGGTTCTGGAATCACAGGGCCTCGGTTTTAGTACCAGTTCTGCCATTGCCTAACTTTGTAGCCTAGGGTCGGAAATCTCCCAGAACCCCAGTATCTTTATGTGTCAGTGGAATTCATGCTACTCACAACAGGAAGTCGTGAAAGCAGTGGAGGCAAACACATATTATTTCTCCTTGAAAGACCACACCAGTCTGTAATAATAATGGGAAATTTTGACAGCAAACACTTAATTAGCTTCTACTATGTGCCAGGCATTATATGAAGCACTTGGCATATATTTAACTCCTCTAATTCTCACAATCATTCTAAACGGGGGGGCTGTTAATATCTCCTCATGTTACAGGCCCTGAGATGTTGAACAACTTGCCTAAGGTCATATAAAATTGAGGCAGAATTTAAACCCCAGGAAATCTGGCTCCAGAGACTCTAATCACTGTGCATCACATCACTATGTCAACTTTAAAGTGCAGTGCACATGTGAGGGGTTACACACTCACAATCTTTTCTCTACTGACCCTCTTAGACCCACTCCCAGTTATAATCACTCAGTACCTTGGCCATCCATATACACTCACACATCCACGCAAGACAAAACCACATGTCCTTCTACTAACACACACACAGACAGCTTTACAATGCTTTCTGTGTCTTCTTTAATCCACACATTAAGTATCTCCTTGGTAGGAGATATCTCTAACCGTGTTCATATCTCAGATGAATAAATGAGGCACAGAGGTGAAGGGGTCATCCAACACCACACTGGTCAGAAGTAAAACCAAAATCTGAACTCAGCTTTTTAACTTAACTCATACACACACATACCACTCCACTTCCTGAGTCATGGAGCGGGGAGCCAGGCTCACCCCAATGTAAAGCATAGGCACAGGACTGAGTGATTAACTGTAAAGGACAACAAAAGTAGCTGATAGAGTCCTGACTTCCTAAAACAGAAAAATACATTCTCTTAAAAGGGGCTAGAGCACTCAACCCTAGGCTACCCTGGAACAAAAGGGAATAAAGAGAGAACAGTGCATGAGCAAAGCAAGCCCCTTTTACAGAATCACTAGTGAGACATGTCTTATTTCATCCAACCCTCGTGTCAGTTCTATACAATTTGAGATTAGCATTCCCATTTTGTAGACAACAGAGTAGAGGCTCAGGATCACAAAACTAGGAGCTGGCAGAACTAGGACTCAAACCTCCAGACTCCCTCTCTAGCTCAGAAGGTCATCTCTCCCTGCCTCAGTCAATCTATCTGAGATAAGGAAACAAGCTCTTCATCATCAAACAGCAAAGACTTCTTACTTTGCCTCCTGCCCGTCCACCTCTCTCAGCTGTCCATCTGACTCCTGCTTTCTCTCCCCACCTTCCATTCTCCTTCTGGAACTTCTTCTTTGGCCCATATTAGGGGTCTCCAGACCCAGAAGCCACCCCTGATGAGCCAGACTCCTCTGCCTCCCAACACCTTGCTCACTCACGTCTGGAGTCTCTGAATTGCAAATCTTCCCAGCCTGTGTTGGCCTCTTAAATGGCAAAGAGGAAAAAATCACAGGGGCTGTATTCTGAATTAAACAGTATGACAGTAACTTGCTTCATATCCCTGTCTCCAATCCTCAGCGTTTCCCTCCAGAAAAGGAGAAGCTGAGACTCCCATGCTGTGTAAGGCAATTTCCTGCTCTGACCAGAGTCCCCACAGCCTGGTAGAACCACGTGCCTTTGATGGAGCACCCAAGCTGTCTCTCACTCAGTCCTTGGAGCACAAGAGATTGTTTTTAAGATGAGGAAGGGGACAAAGTGCCCAGGGAGGAGTCCAGGCTTTCTTCAAACCACTCAGCCAGTAAATGGGAAAGGAAAAAGTTGAAACCCTCATTATGACTCCCGCAGCCACAGGATGGCGGTGCCACCTTGGGCAAGAACGTTTCTCTCTCCCACGCTCTCTTCCACATCTTTAAGATGAGCTGGGAGCTTTCCTAAATCTGTAAAGTTCCTTTCTGCCTGGACCGAGGAATCAGGGGAGTCTTGCCAGGCCAGGCGCTCCCAGTGCTTCCCCCTAGGGCTGGGGGAGACCCCAGGAAAGGGACCTGGAGAGGGGTGAGCCAGGCCCGGGGACCCAGCTCGGACGCCAGCCCAGGCTTCCCCGCAGGCTTCAGCCAGTCCGAGGAGGAAACTGCGGGCCCGGGTTCCCTGGCCGCCCGGAACAATGTCCCGGCTGTGCGTGCCCGGAAGCCCGTCATGCACCATAGACTCGAATCCAGCTAGGGGTGGGGAACCCCCTCTTCCTTTGGCTGCGCTTCAGCGATGCCTTTGTCTCCCCTGGAGCCGCGCGAGGGAGAGAGCCCGGGCGGGTCTGGTTTCATCTGCATCGATTTTCCCGGGGGTCCCTGGGTCCCGGGGCGTCCCTCTTCCCGGAACCCGGGCGCCCCGCCTCCTCCCTGCTCGGCGCGGCCCCGCCCGTCCCGGGACGTCCCGTGGGCTTACCATTGGGCAAGCTGCAGAGGCTGACGCAGCCCGCGCGGCAGCACTTGAGATTGTCCGGGCAATCGCTGTCGGAGAGGCACTCCTGCGTGCAGTTCTGCTCCGGCTGGATCTCGGGGCACACGCCCGTCTTCTCTGCTCCCGCGCCTGGCGTGGGGAGTTGTGGGGGAAACAGCCGGGGATGGGGCGTAGCTCCAGTCTTAGAGGGTGCCCACCTCTGTTCCAAGGGCCCCAAATCTTAACTCCAAGGAATTCTCAGCCTCTGGCCCCAGGGTCCCCACTTACAACCCCTAGAGGACTACCTCCAGGCTAGGGGTCCTTGACACCTGAGAGTTCACGGGTTCCCTAACCCTTGGCCTCAGAGCCCTCAAATCTCAGCCCTTAAGGGACTCCTCACAGCCGAGCGTCTAGGAGTTTCCAATGCTAGGGAGGGCAGCCCCCCGCCGTCCGCGGGCCCACCCCAGTCACAAAGTGTTCGCTTTTGGCACAGAGGACCTCTCCTCGAATTACAGACTTAAGTCGTCTCCCCGCCTCCAGCACATCGGACCCCACACCCTAGGCTCCAAAGGTCACCACCTTTAAGCCCTAGAAGTACCCATATTTTAGTTTTCATGAATCTCCCCATTTCCACCCCAGGAATTCCCAGTCCCTAGCCCCCAGAGAGAATACACCTCTGTCGGGCTCAGTCCTGGAACTCGTGGTTCGGCCCTTCCCCACCCCCACTCACCTTTGGCTGGGGGGAGACCAAGCAGCAGCTGGCCAAGAAGGAAGGCGGCGGCGAGCGGGCCGAAACAACAGGCAGGCATGGTGCTGGACTGGGCGAGGTGCAGGTGTGAGC